GAACAAATTCTTCCAAATTTATCTGCACGTCTGACAAAATCCTATATCAACATCTGAGCACACAGTGCTGTTAAGATGACTCGGGATAGTTAATTAACTTGTCGAAGGCTGTGAAGTGGAGACAGTTTCTGTGCCAGATGCTTTCACATTTTGCCGACATCCTTCTTGTTATATTTTAAACCTTGTATCTGTATGCTGAAAATGATAATCTCAACTAACCAAAAAGATATTGCACCTGTTCTGTATTCACTATGAATTAAAAAAAAAGAAGAGCTGTTTGGAAGAAAACCAAGCAATCTTCGAACCAATCAATGGGCTCTTTAACTTCAACTATTTTTATGACAACAATTTTAAGTTGTCATGTTTGGCAACAGGTGTTAAGAGTTTTGTGAACTAGTTCATTATGTAATGGTGAGTGACTATAGTCCTGCCTGGAGAAATTGAAAGGTTGTAAGTTAGGTAACTAAAATACAATTTCTTTTTGTTAATCAGCCCAGTTGATTGCATCCATTGGACTTCTGCGGCACAGCTTTCTTTGCTTGAAGATGAAATGCGCAGAGTAGAAAGAATAAATGTAAGGCACGCAACCACTATATAGTTTTTCCTTTGAATTTTAGTTTACTTCTGTACCTTCTTAATCTGATGTGAACATTTGAATTGCTTAGCATGAAAACAAGCACATTTGACTTAACGAGCTTGAAAGTTTCTTAGAGTTGAATTTAAGAAGCCTGAAGATTACGGCAAGACTGCATTATATATCCAGATCCCATGCAGCAATCACTTGAGCATCTCCTAAACTGTTGACGATAATATAATTTGAAAGAGAGAAGGAATTTATGTATTGAATGGTATTGTACGTTCTGATAGCAGCTGTGATGAAAACTGTAGATCCTAGTTGTTGGGCTTGGCATATATATTTTATTCCAAAAACTATCAGGAATTTGAAAACTAATGGATGGTGATTGTGTAGAAGAATGCTAAAAGGTGAATTTTCTCTAGAGGACAGAATAATGCACTTCTGACATTCAGACTAGGGTAATGTATACTCTATGAAAAATACAAAGTGGAGACTGCAACAGCAACACAACCCTTCTCTAAATCAAGTAATTTTATGTAGAAAACCTGAACCTGTGTTCTATTTACCAGAACACAATATGTTTGCAAAATTAACTTTGACCTTTGCATTCAAGCCATGCCTAAGTTCTGTCCTAGTCTACAAGATGTTCATTAATTCAAGCTTCCATACTTATAGCTTCTCTGTTACAACCATACCTGCATATCTGACCGACTGTTGTGTGTGGTATTTTCACCTTGCCAGTCATTACAATATTGAAACTTGGACTGGTTTGAATGATTATCAGGTTGCACTGATGCTTTCAGGAATGGGATCTGCAGGAGCAGATGTTTTCAGAATGGTAAGCATGCTACTTATCTTATTCTTGCTACATTTTCAGCTTCTTGATTGGTTTGATTGCGACATGCTTCCTTGAGAATCTCACAAGATAAATTTGCAGTGAGCTTAGATTAATATCATCACATGCAAAGAGGAATAATCTTGTCCTTTCCTTTAAAAAACATAATGGCGTGTTAAATCATGTAGAGAAATTAATGTTGAATTTTTCAGTTACTTTGCTATATTTCTTCATCACCTGAATTGTCAGTATCTTTGTAGGAACGCATGTAGAATTATTGTAATTGTTGATATCATCACAGCGTCACTCACTGCTTAGGCACTTATGCTGTGTTTCTAAAATGAAGATAATAGATGAAAGTAGTACTTACTACTTAGACAGCTCCATTCCTAAAATGAAACAATGACAATACTGCACTACTGCTCTAGGGCTTGAAGTTTGCCTGCAGTCTGAGATTTCTGAATATTTAACCAATGGGCAAGGAAGACGTAATATTTTTCTGGTGCTAAAAGAGTCATGTACTTAGATATGGTTCCACCAAATGTGTCTTGGCCTCATGGGCGGGAGAACTTGGAGATGGTTCTACCCTTCAGTGGTTTTCGCATAAAATGGCTGCACTCAAGAGTGAAACCTGAACTCCATATGGCTGCAACCCCAAGACTTTCACCATTGCATCAGACAGTTTCCCTACCGATCATGTTAAAGACTTTTACCATTGCATCAGACAGTATCCCTACAGATCATGTTAACCATATGCACTTAACAATTTTCATCTTATTTCGCTTGATCATTTTTTTGGTATTTAGAACTTATCGCAGAGGAAAGTGAGAGGTTGAATTTGGGAGTCGAGCTGTAAGTTTTTTGAAAAAAAAAAGGAATTTCAAGAGGCTTTTGCAAACTAATTAATTAAATTTATTTCCTTTATAATTTTGTTTTCCTCTTTTTAAGAACTGATCTCTGAATTCTTGAGTTGATTGCTTCAAAATCCCTTAATTGCTAAGACCACATAACCGTTTAATTGCTAATATCTTTCACTTTGTTATCACTAGTTGCCGAGCAGCAGCTATTAACTTGTGCATAATTATGTGGCAGGCATGTTCTCGATGGGAAAAGAGGCAAGCAAAAATCTTGGTAGGAACTCTTTATCTTTTCTCCTTTATCAACATTCATTGAAACTTACATGTTATTGGAGCAATATTATGTGAAAACCAATGACACTTCGTCAAAAGCCTATATGGCTGAAGATATCACATGTCAAGTAGGAAAAACAAGGCATTCTGAAGCTGTGACTAGCAGTCATTTAAGTCTTTTAGATATCCCAGTTGGAAGAAGGAGCTCTGAACTGTCATGCAGTAAATCAGTAGTTGTGCTTGCATATCACACCTTCTACCTGCTCGTTTATCTGAATGGCAGAGCAAGTGGTTAAAAACAGAATAGGCATTGCACTTTTGGTTGAGTGATTTTTTATTTTTTCTAAAACTGGAAAACTCTTAATGCACTGTTCTTAAATTGCTGAAAATAATCATGCAGAGAGACCTGCTTGAGTCGTTTGCACTTAGTGAATTTCTCTCTGCGCTGCTAGGTGCAAAGAGGTCCATGCTTCAGCCGCATGTAGATTGTGGTCTTAGCTTTACCCAGCACAATATGGGAGGGGTGGTATGCTTGTGTTGCTAAATGATCCTGAAAACGATTTGTGAATGATATGCTCAAATAAACTGTGTCCCATCCCATATGCCACAGAGATATGGTCCCTTGAATTGAATCAATGATCCTCCATTTAAGAGCTCGTAACTCTTACTACTTCACCAGACATTGGCCCTTTTTATGAACTGTGTAATAAAACTGGGATGTAATTATAATAAATTTAGGAAATTAACTTGATTATTCCTAAAAATTTCTGGATGCTTTGATTAAATGAATTTTCCTCATGAGTTTGAACTTTACATTGGTTGCGCTTGAACACATATTCTGGCTGTCATTTTGGTTCTGGACAAAACATTTCAAAAGATTGTGACGGCATTGTTAACAGCTCTACTAGGTTTGCTGAATAGGACTCCTAAATTTTTTGCAGGAGCAGGCTAAAATAAGGATGATGAAGCAAAAAGATGTTGATAAAAAGGGGTCTTACTGGAGCGATCTCTGGGGTAATCCGAAAGAAAACCAAAGTTCAGGTAAGCGGATTGGTAAAAGCAAACTGATAATGTGACACTAACCTATCTATTGCTCTTTATTTTCCACACCCTTATATCAGTTTTAATATATCACCTATTAAATTATATAAGCTAGGACTTCCCTTTAGGAGTGCTTGATGTTGTCGCTTTCCAGGAAAAAATTTCGATAAAATTTCGATGAACAAAATGCCAGTTTGCTGTGTTTTGGCTGTCACAAGTTCTATATGAAATGCTCGTTTACTAAATAAGAAAGCGTGTGCTGAAAGCACAATACTGAAACCATATATATGACGATGGATGCTTATGTGGCACTATAGTGATTGTAGAAGAGTTTGTAATTTTATGTTTTTGGTATGAAACAATGATTTTGATTATGCATATGTATTTACAGCAAGTAGCAAAAAACTATATCAACACAAAAAAAACTTAAACCGTTAAATAAAAATTCATGATATTATTTATATTATCACCGTCCATGAATTATCTGTCCAAATATATGTTTTCTACCAGCTTTTCTTCAACTTCAAGTAAAACCAACATTGACACGGTGTTTGATGCAGAGGAAGAAACAAAAGAGAGAGCAAGAAGAGCTGCGGCAGCAGCTCGAAGATGGAGGGAGTACTCAAGGAAGGGTGTCGATAAGCCTCCCACTTTTAAGCTTCCGGAGGCAATCTCCAACAATGACAAATGATCAGTAAATATCATATCTTTCCATTCCAATGTAATTAATTAGCCTATAGATTACTGAAGAATCATTGATTCTGTTCCTCATGAAACTATGATTGATACCATGACTGTCCACAATGATTATTGAAACTGAAGTTGATAAATGAAATGGGAAGAGGTTATTTATGGAGCAATTGTTTTGGATAGTGGTTTCTTCTGTTGCACCAAAACAATGCTGTTGTGCTTCTGAAAAGATCATTTACAGAAAAGCATTTTCGGTTGCATCAAAACGCAGTGGTATCCATGGCCGTGCTTTGCTCAGAAGCAGTGATTTTACTTACGTTACGAAGCTCCATACATTCAGTTGCATCATGGGCTTTTCATACGGTGCCCTGGTCTCATTACCTGATTGGCAAGTGGCGGGGGAAGGGGCACCTCGCAACTTCCAGAAAAAATCGCACACCAAGAAAGCTTTCATTCTATTTCCAATTTCCATGTCGTCTTTCAAATGCAGCTACTTTCACACAAGAAGCCATTACAAACAATGGAAAAGACAACAAAAATTACTGCAGAAAAATTATCCTGCACTACCACAGTATCCAGCAAATATGCTCAACCAAATCAAGGCCTTGCAACTGTACATTGTAAGTCATCTTTTGCAGGCCTCCTTGTGAGATTCTGTCATTAAGAAATTCCATCCTAACAATGCTGCTCCGACTGCAGGCTCAACCTGATCATTTAAAAAGAAAAATACCAAAATGGAATCTGTAGTGCTCTAAATAAATAACAGTACTAGTCTAGCAAGATTAAGATACAAATATTCTCCCATGTCTGAAAAGAAAAGAGTTATCTGAAAAAGAAAATAACAAATATTCTCCCATGTCTGAAAAGAAAATGAAAACCGATGAAATTGAAAAAACAGTAGGCATGTATTTCCATATACACTGGCATTCATCTAACTGCACAAGAAGTCCTTAATATGAAGTTTTCAGCAATGCAGGTTTTTGCCCCTACGTTGAAGAGCATATAAATAAGTTAATACGAGAAGTGAAATTTATCCGAGAATTTTTAGCAAAAAAGTATACTAGATCAAGCATTTCAAGAAAGTTTAATAAGGGCTTCCCTAATTAACATGGATTTAGTTTATTTGATATGTGGAAATTTTTGTCCAGGAAATTGATTTTATGTCCAATTTACTAGTTAAATAAGTTTTAATAACATGGTTATTGTGTTGTTTGGATACCTTACTTAAATAAGTTTTAATAACATGGTTATTGTTTGGATACATTAGAGCCAGGATCCAGCCCCCTATGGGTGTTGTCTAACCCACATGGCTCCCAACAGGAAATGCAGCTTCATGGTCTGCCAGGATTTTGCTTCCCTTATTCAGTAGACAATATCAAAGATAACAATCACTTGTGAAATTAGGGTCATGCTACAGCAGTACAGCCTTTTCTACATGGGTTTTTGTTCCGCTCTCTATATCACTCTGTCACTCTTAAAAACTCATAGATAATTCGTGTATTTCCAAATCGCTGTTACATCCACTATTCCACACTCAATCTCCATTCAAAAATGGTATTTCAGCAATTTCATGGTTTCTATAAGAGATATTTTCTGCAGTTAATTCTTATAGCCACACTAATTTAGTTAGGAGCAGGAGGATGTATCTGGAAACATGATAGGTTGGTTAATCAGAAAAATTCTCGTTGGAACAAAGTAAAATATGGTTTACCTTTGGGTGAATTGGAAGAACCCCAGGGTAGCTTTTAGAAATGTGGTTTACAACTTCTTTTCCTATATCCCACCTCTTATTTGCTTCTAGAACACCGCCAACCATGACAAGGGGAAAAGAAGCTTTTCCATCTGCAACGATATTTATGCAAGATCAAAATGAGTCCAAGAAATACAAAGAAAATATGTTAGAACCATCCCGAGAGATAATAGTTTTTAATTTTAAATAGGATATATACATCACACTTAATGAACAAGCTTTCAAAAACCCTGAAGGCAATACACAAGGTTCATGTAAGGATAAACAAAGTAGGCACTACATGAAAATCAGCATGTCAAAATCACAATCTAAACTAAACTTAATTTTCCTAGTAGAGAGTTTCCGCATTATCCAAACTGTATGATAAAAATCATTGATTTATTAACTAGCTTGAACTAGACTGTATTTTCACCAATCCCTCCAGCCCTAAAATAAAACTTAAGGTTGGGTACAAATCTATAAAGCTTGAAATCATGGCAAGTCATTCTTTCCACTCGTTGTGAGCACCAACATTTCACCACTGCATTGTTATAGTTTTAATGATATATGTTACTTTGAGAAGTAAAAGTTGCAAACACTCAATACTTGGATACTTTACGTGGTTCATTGGCAACCCTGTAATCATATTTCAAATGATACAAAAGAATTTATTTGTGCATTAGTATTAGTTGGCAATGCCACACCTTCACCACACAAGCCGAGTCTTTGAACAACAGCTTTTACGCTCAAAGCCAACTCCTCAACTGAATCTTGCAAGATCTCATGAGCAACTCGGTCTCCTGCCTCTGCACAAGACACAACGACAGGAACAAGAGCTGCAATACGAGCCCAAGATGGATCTGCATAAGTCCACCTAAATTCAAAGAGAAATCCAAATTCAAAGAGAAATCCAGTATCTTATTCAGTAACATATCTGATTTTGTCAGTGTATCCTATGAACAACATGTCAGAAGTCAACCAGCCAAGACATCAATTGATTTTTCTCCAAATAGACTTCCAAGAAAAAAATCCAGGAACCAATTTTGTACTGGAAAACTATAATTCCATCAAAAAATTACAAAGGTCCATAGTACATACATGACATGAACTACATTTACATGTCACTGCAACGAAATCTAGTGAACCCCATTTAATGTTTTCTTATCAGAATATTGGACAAACATGAAACATACTGCCAACATATTTCCACAAACATGTTATGTCATTACATGAACCAAGAACCACAAAGGACCAAATGCTATGAAAAGATGGGGATACAACACAGAACTAGCTATTTTTTTCCATAGGTTGTTTTGTGAAAGAAAAGGGTAAGATGCAAAAAGAGTGCCAAGTGGTCTCATCCATTGGCACTTCAGTAACGAAGGTCAGATTAATGAAATAGACCTTCAGTTTTTTACTTCAAAGACAATGAAGATAACTGTAAGAGTTTTAAGCTTTGAAAACAGTAACCGCTACTTATAAGAGTTAAGATGACATTGGTGTTGTGTTGGAATATATACCCAATAAGTTCATCAGGGGAAGAAAGACCAAGTGTCTGCAAAATATTAGATGAAAGAATTGTTAGCGGGCCACGACCATCATAAGCCCTTACTATTGCTGTTAATGCCTGGGCAGCTATTCCATAACCACTGCAGGAGAATAAAACAATATCATGTTAAATTCACTCAAGAACAATAATTATGTGAAGAAACAAAAACAGTTATGAATCCTATTGTAACTATCATTAAAAACCTACAAATGATCTTGTATCTAACTATTGCAGATAATTTGAATTCTTACCTAGGGAAAAACAGGAAAAATAGAAGGAAAAAAAAAAAGAAGAAAAAAAAGAGATAAAACTATTCTCAAATGGTATACTGTGAATAATCTAGTAATGACTAAAACTAGAAGAAATTAATTTAGTATTGGATGACCAGATCATTTAGAAAGACAGTTGATTTTATGCACCAAGCTCTTGCCAAATGCAGTTGACGTTTAATCACCAAGTTATTTAAATGTCAATTCAAGCCTCCTATTTGCACTAGCTAAAACTGTTAGGTTTGTTGAATGTTACAATCTCTATTTCTAGGTAACAGTTTCATTGTAAGAAAATAAAATTGTATCAGAGCGAAAGAGTATGTCAATGGAAGGAGGATATGATATCCACTTCGAAGGAAAATATAATTAAGACAAGTACATTCCAATCATGTTCAGTTAGCTAAAGATTCCATAAAAGAGGGAAAGTTAAATTCTGAATTACTAGTGGTTTTATCAAGAACAAAAATTTCTTGCATCTCTGGGAGCAGGAAATTCATGCTGCCTAAAACATGATAAAGTTTCATGCTTCTAGGCACTAAGTAGCACTATAAATAAAGAACATTTTTCACTGTTATAATGCCTGTGATCTTCTTGATATCATTTTAACTTCCTTTTCTTTAATGCTCAAATTCTTTTAGTTATAATACCCTCATGTTGCTATGTTTCACACGAGAGGGGAAGGGGGAGAAATGAATGCGCATTCTAGCTTATATACCTTCCCCAATCACCAAGGACCGGCCCTGCACCAGCAGCCCGAGCCTGTCTACCATCTTCTGTGAATCCAAAAGCAATAGTTCCTGTCCCAGCAATTAAAACACACCCATGGAGCTTTCCCATTGTGCCACTTGCCAAAGCTGCAACAGCATCGTTCTGAACATACAGCTTCACATGAGTAGGGAATATTTCCCTGCAAAAATCAAAGAAAAGGAAGATATGACCAAAGATTATCAAATAGATACTAAAATCAATGGACAACCAATCATAGGGAACAGCCTAAAAAGATTCAAAGCAATTCTGTGATTGTACAGACAAGAACTAACAAGATAACTGAAGCTGCAAGATGCAAAGCAAGTAAGCTCCTTGTAGTGCAAGGGAATTTTAATTAGAGGAGCAGAAAACACATGTAAATTAAATTTAAAAAAACTAGAGAGCAAATTACCTTAGCCAATTTAAAATTCTTAGCTCATCAGTTGAATGATTAACGCCGGAAACAGATAGACAAACAGCTCGAACTGCAGAGCGATTAGAACCCGACTTCAAAAGAGCATCAGCCATAACTTGCTCCAGCGTCTCTCTAGCAGCAGTTTCTGATCACAAAGCCAAATATCTCAAAGCCCATTAATAAAAAAAAATTACTAGAAAATGCACCACCATATATATTATATAAGAAGAAAGCTGACCGCCAACGCTGTTGTGATTGGAACAACCGGCGACGGCTCGAGCGAGAACGGGAAGAGGGTCGGGAAAAGGATCAGAAAAGGGAAAAATTGGCATGCAAACGCAAACGGTAGACGTAGTTCCACCGTCCAATCCTAAGATCACCTCCCTGTTACCCAACTCCCCAATTTCATGTTCGAAATCCCATATTTCCCCATTTCTATATCTCTTCTTCATCTTCCCAACAAGGCAGTCGCTAAATCTTGCTACTGTTTCTTTCTTCTTCTTCTGACAAGAAAAACTGACATTCAAAACACTCACTACTACACAACTACTGTATGTAGGATATAGATAGCAGTTATGAGAGACCAAGCACTCCTACCACTACTGTCTCTATATTTCTTCGAATGTCCCATCAAGTTAATTATTTACTTGCATGTTTATTTTGTTGGGTAAATATCATTTAGTCCCTGTCTCTTTTTTTAATTCAGTTTCTTTTGTCTTTGAATCCATTCAATTGGTCCCTTGACAATGGTTGAAAATAAAAAGGGATTACAAGTTACGGTCGAGGGACCGATCTATGAATCTTAAGATTGAAGAAGCTGACATGCAAAATTATAAGAACAACAGGGACTCAGCAATAATATACACATATAAAATTAATTCGGACGGCCAGAAGAGACAAACGCAACTTGCCGAATTGCATAGCGTTAGAAAATTGGTGAGGGAGGATTTGAATTTTCTGTTTTGTGGGCTTGTGATACTGCTTGTCTGTTCTATTTCTTTTTTTGAAAGATAAAGGTGGCCGGAATCTAAGTTTGAATGCTATTGTTGTTTTGTGCATGGATTACACCATTACTATGACGTTTGTTCGTTGTCCAGAGCGAGCTGGCGACCTGGCTTCGGTGGCCGGGTGGCTGCTCACTTGACCTGCAAAACAGGAGGAGATCCCTTCGTTTGATGTAAGAGCATGGCTAGTTTTATATTTCAAGAGTGTTTTACAAAAAAAAAAAAAAAAAATTATTTTGTTTGTTTTAAATTATTTTTTTTATTTTCAATCATTTTTATTTTGTTTGTTTTAAATCATTTTTTTATATTTTCAATCGCTTTAATATACTATATTAAAAATAAATTTTAAAAAATAAAAATATTACTTTAATATATTTAAATAAAAAATATTTTAAAAAATAATCGCTATAATATTTCATGTTATACATAAAAGGGAGCAAATATTTTAAAAAATAATCACTATCACAATATCAAATGAATACTTCATATTATACATAAAAGGGAACAAGTTTAATATTTTAAAATTTATGTAATATTTTGAAAATTATGTAAATTAGATAAAAGATTTATTTGAAAATATAATAATAATTGTTTTTAAAATAATTTTTACTTGAAATATATTAAAATA